AATGTTTGTACCATGGAATCAATGTTTAGTATAAAAGTATACGTAAAAGAGAGGAAATCGGATCTGCCAATGAATATGTAAATGCGATGTGCAGATTTGAAAGCGCGATCTGCCAACGAATGGCATATTTTAATTCGAATAGGGCGAATTATTCTACGGGCAAGTTACCTAAGGTGTGAACTCTCTTGCATTTGCGCGCATGCGTAGCCTGTCGTTTACCCAGGGCATCCGCTTTAACTTCGCTTATATATTTACTGCGTGGCCGCAGGGTCCACGCAAAAAGATATGTATTGGAAAGAAAGTGATGACCCAATTGAAATTCGGTATGAAAAATAACCCAGTAATCTTGTATTCAAAATGTAAAAACAGTGCATATTCAGATAAAATCAACACTTGTGAAATAAAACAAAGGGCTAATTGCAGGTATACTGCAGGTTACTGTGTAGTTTGAAGTCTCTTTCAGCTTTGATTTCATGTACATGTATTTAAAATCTTTATAAGATTGTACAAACTTAGCACTGCACATCAACACCAATACAGAGTAAGAGCGGAAATCTTAAAAAATTATACATTTTATCGTTATTCAGTAAAACAAAAAATAAAATTTAAACAATTTTAAATATCAAGCAGATTAATTTTGGGCCCCAATATGCAGATTTCTCTTTTTCGCTACGAATATTATGAAACAAAAGTATAAAAGTTGTATGCTTCTAAACATTCTACATCAGTTGTGCCCACCTCCTATAATGTACCCCAAGCCATCTCAAAAGAGTACTGAAAATGCTTCCAAAAGGCTTAAAGCCTGATTGTATTTCAGTATCTTTGATTTGATTTTCTATAGAATTTTCAAGAGTTCTAGAGTACTTTATTGATTATGGAAACTGTAAAAGAGTGATCAGATTAAATCATTGAATGATGCCCGATTTCACACCTTTGAGCCTGAAGGAATATTCTCACCCCTTTTTTTCAGAACTTCAGTGTAAACGATGATATACACATATATTCAACAATTCATCTCCACACCGACTGATCATTACATAAGCCATTTCCTGTTTATTATCAATTTGTGTATATACTTTGTTTTGGAGTAACTTCTCTAAAAAATAAATATTAAAACTTTTCCAAGAAAAATAACCAACATTTTAAAATGTTGATTAATGTACATACAAAAATATTTTTTTTTTTTTTTGTTTTTTTTTATTATTCTGCAAAACAATGTAGAAATTCTGATAAAGTAAAAAGACTTCAATTTTCATAGCAACATATGCCATGTTAATAAAATACCTAATCATAATCAGGGTTTTTCTTGAATGACCATATGAATTTTTTTTTTGTTTTACCAAGTTGCTATTATTTTGATTGCAATAGCATCTACTTTCTACATGTAAGAAGATAAATTCAATGAGGACTAAAATTTTCATAGGGAGAATCCATCATTATGTTATACTCCGTCAATCGTACTCAGATATGTTCTCTTGAATGACCAAAACTTTTTTATTTTTCAATGAAATTTTGTCAAGTTGGTATTATTTTGCTTGCAATAGCCTCTACTTTCTACATGTAAAAATATAAATTCTAAGAGGATAAAAATTTTTATAGGGAGAATCCATCATTATGTTATACTCCGTCAATCGTACTCAGATGTGTTCTCTTGAATGACCAAAATTTTTTTATTTTTCCTTTAAATTTTCCAAATTGGTATTATTTTGCTTGCAATAGCCTCTACTTTCTACATGTAAAATGATAAATTCAAAGAGGACAAAAATTTTCATAGGGAGAATCCATCATTATCTTATACTCCGTCAATCGTACTCAGATGTGTTCTCTTGAATGACCATAACTTTTTTATTTTTCAATGAAATATGGCCAAGTTGGTATTATTTTGCTTGCAATAGCCTCTTCTTTCTACATGTAAAAAAATAAATTCTAAGAGGTCAAAAATTTTCATAGGGAGAATCCATCATTATGTTATCCCCGTAATTATCAGATGTGTTCTCTTGAATGACCATAATTTTTTTATTTTTCCATTAAATTGTGCCAAGTTGGTATTATTTTGCTTGCAATAGCCTCTTCTTTCTACATGTAAAAAGATAAATTCAAAGAGGTCAAAAATTTTTAGGGAAATCCATATTTTTTTATCTCCTAATGTCTAGGTGTTTTTTAATGACCATAACTTTTTTATTTTTCCATGAAATATGGCCATGTTGGTATTATTTAATTAACTTGTAATAGCCTCTACTTTCTACATGTAAAATGATTAATTCTAAGAGGACAACAATTTTCATAGGGAGAATCCATCATTATGTTATACTCCCTCAATCGTACTCAGATGTGTTCTCTTGAATGACCATAACTTTTTTATTTTTCAATAAAATATGGCCAAGTTGGTATTATTTTGCTTGTAATAGCCTCTACTTTCTACATGTAAAATGATTAATTCAAAGAGGACAACAATTTTCATAGGGAGAATCCATCATTATGTTATACTCCGTCAATCGTACTCAGATGTGTTCTCTTGAATGACCATAACTTTTTTATTTTTCCATGAAATATGGCCAAGTTGGTATTATTTAATTTGCTTGCAATAGCCTCTACTTTCTACATGTAAAAAGATAAATTCTAAGAGGACAAAAATTTTCATAGGGAGAATCCATCATTATGTTATACTCCGTCAATCGTACTAAGATGTGTTCTCTTGAATGACCAAAACTTTTTTATTTTTCAATGAAATTTTGCCAAGTTGGTATTATTTTGCTTGCAATAGCCTCTACTTTCTACATGTAAAATGATAAATTCTAAGGGGACTAAAATTTTCATAGGAAGTATCCATCATCATGGTCATAATACTCTGTCAATAGGAATTGGAATGTTCATGTAATTGATTACCATAAATTTTTATACTTTTCATTGAAGTTTATTAGTTGCCAGTTTGGAGTACAGTTAGGTTTTTTGTTATAGCATTCACACAGTTAATCAAACCTAATAAATTAATTTGTGTGTATTTTTTTTTAAAAATTAGAAAATGACCAATGGAAATGGGAGACTTTTTTCTAAGTTTCTAAAATTTCAATAACTTATTTGAAAAGGGGGAGCTTTATCTGCCTTATAAATACATTGTTACTTTTCAAAAATAGAAATTATGTTTTCAAAGTCAGATATCTGCATTCATATAAAATATATATTTATTTGCCCCCTAAAATTCATCTGTAAAACATGAGCAGTGCAAGTTTTCGCCTTTTAATTCATGCAAATTCACTTGACTGAGTACTTTTATTTGATAACGCTCTCCAAGAGAAAACGGTACCATGATTAAAAATATTTCAACATTCAGTTAAAGTAAAAATATATAGTCGTTATAGAATACTTTATTTAGATTGGAACGAAACGCCCGGAGTGAATCCACATAGTCGAGACGAATACACACAATACACTGTTCCGATCTAAATCTCCGTTACGTTTTTTATAATAGTAAACATTCACAGTCTGTAAATGCATTGATGCAACTGTGATGCTTGAACAGGAAAGAAGTCAGAAGTGGCTGAACTTTTGCAGTCTGCTGAAAGGATTAATTCACGTACTTTTAAATCAATGTAGTCTCATTTATCTTCATTTTTTTGATATTGGTTTAATACGTAATGCTTGAATTATCCACAATCACCTCAGCGCAAATTAATAAGTCAAAAGGTGCTACAGTTCCATTCAGCATATTCAGTTATGGAATTCCCTCCTATGTATAAGGAGCACTCAAGAAAGGGACTTTTATAAAATGAGTTTATTGGGGTTTTAAACTTTTGGGGATTCAGCCCATCAGTTTACAAAATGACAATATGACATACAAAATATGAGAAAATTGAGTCTAAACTGGAGGTGAAACAAATTAACATAGTTTTAACAGGTTGGAAGTATTTCAGCAATTATAATATAACCAAAACCCATTACAAATCTATTTCAATGATATTTTCAAAAATGGCTATTATTTTAGCTACCATTCATCATGTTCCTTGTAAAATCAAGATAGATCTATGCATAAGTCTAATTTTTGGTTTATGATAGTAAAGACTAAGAATAACAACTTTATATCTTAGACAACCATGACAACAGCATGTATATTGGGTACATCCCACTAATTATTTTTAGAATCGGTAGGAGAAGAAAGTAGTGCAGAAAAAATTACAAGTTCCTTAAATTGCAGACTTGCATAAAAAAAATTGGGCAGGTGTACTGAACTGAGCCTCACACTTGTTGATAAGGAGTATCTTTCCTGCCAAAAAAGCTTTGAAAATGTAATTTATCAAGTAGATCAGCCGAATTATTTTGTGTATTATAACGCCAGTGAGAGTTCAAATTCCCCTACTTTCACTTTCATTTTTAGAGGTTCCCGCAGACATACGTATTTGCCGGAAACCAAATTCCTACATGCCACCTCGAGATTTTAACCAAAAAAGGAAAGACAAGTTGATGTGCTTTGATTTGAGGGGTCACTCACTACGAAAATCGAAAATTAGGGACATCGCTATGAGAAGAAACGTTAACATTGTCGCCTATGGGAGTACAATTAGTGGGATGTACCCATATTAGGAAGCATTTAAGTAAGTGGAAATATTTTCATAAATTTTGAATTTATTTCAAAGTTGTTGTTTTTGTATCATTTTCAAGTTTCAAATTTATGAAAAAAACAATTCTTATATTTTACAGCATTTTTAAACAAATTGATTCATATATAAAGTGTCTTAAAAAATGCCCCCCCTCCCCCGGAACAGTCAACATGAACACCCATTGTTTACACATGTATCGTGTAGATTAAATGTATCGATTTATATAATTTATTTATTCAGAGTCGTAAATGTATAATTTGATTAAGAAGCAATTATGTAGAAGTACATGCTCCACTGTGGTTTATTTTCAATACACAAAAATTCACAAATGAGTTCGGATGGTATTCAATCGGGGTCAAGGTCGAAGTGAAAGTAGACTTAGCAGAAAGCTATCAAAACTGTTCAGGGCAGTGTTAAGCAGTATATAGGTAATGGGCATTTGTATTTTACACAGGAGGTAAGAGGTATACAAAATAACAATTTAATGTTTTTGGAACATGTCGATGATCGGCACGTCACATATGCATGTGTCAGTTGTGCGGTCAACATGCACAGTTAACTGATTGTGTGTGAACATGCACATTAACTGATTTTTCTCAGCAATTGCATTACATGTATTTGTTGAATGTTCAATTATTGTCAGTAAAACATGATTTTTACCTATTCTGCTGAATTAACTTAATTACCAGTGTAAACAGTGTTATTTCAGGTGGGAGCAAAATAATCATTTTTAAAATTAATTAAGTTCAAGTAATGGGCATAAAAGGAATATGGTAAAATTGTACGTGTTGAATGTCTGTGTGTCTGTCTGTCTGTCTGCAAATGTGATATTGTACCATTTATTGTATTGATTTTTTTTAAGGTTCATGGTGATTGGTACAGGAAAAACATGAGGTCCATGCAGATGGTGTTTAAAACTATTGGCCAGCAAATGCACACCCATTTGAATACATCTTGAAAAAGAACCAGCAAAATGTGACAGTCGGCAAAATATGTAAGTTCAAGTTTTCTAAAAAAAAAAAATTCATTGAAGTGGGAGGATGGGGTGGGGGTGAGGAAATTTACATATTAAATAGGTGATCAGAATGTGAAAGTATTAAGCTATAACTAATCTGTACATGCACTGCTATATATACATTTTGTAGCTCATATAGATTTTCTTTTTTTATTTAAGATTTTCAAATTAATTAGATCTACATCTTTGTTTTGTAAATTATGCATTATTAAGATTACACGGATATAAGAATTGAAATTTCATGAATATTTGACAGTCAAAATTATGCGATTTGTCAGGAAATTCAAAATTTTGTCTCATTTTCCTACAAATTACAAAATGGTTACCATGGAAACAAAACAACTTTAGTGAACTATTTATTTTATCTGCAACACCACATATTTTTATTTTTTAAAGTAAATAATAGTATATAAGCACTGATTTTGTCTTAAATGAAAAGTACGGGAAAAGTAATAATACACATGTATTGAGCTATCCATTATTATGATGTCATTGTGACGTCATAGATGAGTAAATTTGCATTGGTATAAAAATTGCTTTGAAACAAATGATTTTATATAGGATTATAAAGGCTTATAACTTTTTCATTCATAGTCCAAAATTCATGAATGATACATCAATGGACAGGAAATAATCAGTACTTTTTTATTTTACTACTTTCGGGGTATTTGTGAACTTCATTTTTTTGTCATTTCTGGAGAAACTATGAATTAGAGGGTGAAAAGTGGTCATATTTTGTGCGGAAATACATTAATTTTATAAAATAAGTGAAATTGACCCAATTAAGTGCTTGATTATGATTTGACTATATGTATTCAAAGATATGAAGGTGATTAAGAATGGTATAAATGTGTTAATAGGCTAAAATTTGACTCAAAACTTGGATGCAGTTTTGGCTAGATTGGAGCATTTTTTAAGGATATTACACTTAGAACTGTAAATGCTGTAAAATCTTAATTAATTGTTGAATTTTCATGAAACTTGGCATGATGTCTCTACTTATGCTCTAGATTGACAAACAGTGTGAAATATTGTAAAATCAAAAAAATGCTTTTTCATATTGGGTACATCCCACTAATTATTTTTAGAATCGGTAGGAGAAGAAAGTAGTGCAGAAAAAATTACAAGTTCCTTAAATTGCAGACTTGCATAAAAAAAATTGGGCAGGTGTACTGAACTGAGCCTCACACTTGTTGATAAGGAGTATCTTTCCTGCCAAAAAAGCTTTGAAAATGTAATTTATCAAGAAGATCAGCCGAATTATTTTGTGTATTATAACGCCAGTGAGAATTCTGAAATTCCCCTACTTTCACTTTCATTTTTAGAGGTTCCCGCAGACAGACGCATTTTGCCGGAAAACGAATCTGACATGCCACCTCGAGATTTTAACCAAGGAAAGACAAGTTGATGTGCTTTGATTTGAGGGGTCACTCACTACCGAACGAAAATTAGGGACATCGCTATGAGAAGAAACGTTAACATTGTCGCCTATGGGAAAACAATTAGTGGACTGTACCCATATTAGGAAGCCTATAAGTAAGTGGAAGATGTCATAAATCTTGAATTTATTTCAAAGTTGTTGTTTTCTATTATTTTCAATTGTTCAAATTTATGAAAAAAACAATTCTTATATTGTTGATACACATTTTTAAACAAATTGATTCATATATAAAGTGTCTAGACCCCCCCCCCCCCTCCCCCGGAACAGTCAACATGAACACCCATTGTTTACACATGTATCGTGTAGATTAAATGTATCGATTTATATAATTTATTTATTCAGAGTCGTAAATGTATAATTTGATTAAGAAGCAATTATGTAGAAGTACATGCTCCACTGTGGTTTATTTTCAATACACAAAAATTCACAAATGAGTTCGGGATCGGTATTCAATCGGGGTCAAGGTCGAAGTGAAAGTAGACTTAGCAGAAAGCTATCAAAACTGTTCAGGGCAGTGTTAAGCAGTATATAGGTAATGGGCATTTGTATTTTACACAGGAGGTAAGAGGTATACCTTAGTACAATATTTGTAAATAACAATTTAATGTTTTTGGAACATGTCGATGATCGGCACGTCACATATGCATACTTGACATACATCATTTCAGATCAGTTGTGCGGTCAAGCTGGGTACAGTTGTCTGGGAGTTAAACGATGTGTGTGAACATGCACATTAACTGATTTTTCTCATATTTTTTAGCAATTGCATTACATGTATTTGTTGAATGTTCAATTATTGTCAGTAAAACATGATTTTTACCTATTCTGCTGAATTAACTTAATTACCAGTGTAAACAGTGTTATTTCAGGTGGGAGCAAAATAATCATTTTTAAAATTAATTAAGTTCAAGTAATGGGCATAAAAGGAATATGGTAAAATTGTACGTGTTGAATGTCTGTGTGTCTGTCTGTCTGTCTGCAAATGTGATATTGTACCATTTATTGTATTGATTTTTTTTAAGGTTCATGGTGATTGGTACAGGAAAAACATGAGGTCCATGCAGATGGTGTTTAAAACTATTGGCCAGCAAATGCACACCCATTTGAATACATCTTGAAAAAGAACCAGCAAAATGTGACAGTCGGCAAAATATGTAAGTTCAAGTTTTCTAAAAAAAAAATTCATTGAAGTGGGAGGATGGGGTGGGGGTGAGGAAATTTACATATTAAATAGGTGATCAGAATGTGAAAGTATTAAGCTATAACTAATCTGTACATGCACTGCTATATATACATTTTGTAGCTCATATAGATTTTCTTTTTTTATTTAAGATTTTCAAATTAATTAGATCTACATCTTTGTTTTGTAAATTATGCATTATTAAGATTACACGGATATAAGAATTGAAATTTCATGAATATTTGACAGTCAAAATTATGCGATTTGTCAGGAAATTCAAAATTTTGTCTCATTTTCCTACAAATTACAAAATGGTTACCATGGAAACAAAACAACTTTAGTGAACTATTTATTTTATCTGCAACACCACATATTTTTATTTTTTAAAGTAAATAATAGTATATAAGCACTGATTTTGTCTTAAATGAAAAGTACGGGAAAAGTAATAATACACATGTATTGAGCTATCCATTTTATGATGTCATTGTGACATCATAGACGAGTAAATTTGCATTGGTATAAAAATTGCTTTGAAACAAATGATTCTATATAGGATTATAAAGGCTTATAACTTTTTCATTCATAGTCCAAATTTCATGAATGATACATCAATGGACAGGAAATAATCAGTACTTTTTTATTTTACTACTTTCGGCGTATTTGTGAACTTCATTTTTTTGTCATTTCTGGAGAAACTATGAATTAGAGGGTGAAAAGTGGTCATATTTTGTGCGGAAATACATAAATTTTTTAAAATAAGTGAAATTGACCCAATTAAGTGCATGATTATGATTTGACTATATGTATTTAAAGATATGAAGGTGATTAGAATGGTATAAATGTGTTAATAGGCTAATATTTGACTCAAAACTTGGGTGCAGTTTTGGCTAGATTGGAGCATTTTTTAAGGATATTACACATAGAACTGTAAATGCTGTAAAATCTTAATTAATTGTTGAATTTTCATGAAACTTGGCATGATGTCTCTACTTATGCTCTAGATTGAAAAACAGTGTGAAATATTTGTAAAATCCAAAAAATGCTTTTTCATATTGGGTACATCCCACTAATTATTTTTAGAATCGGTAGGAGAAGAAAGTAGTGCAGAAAAAATTACAAGTTCCTTAAATTGCAGACTTGCATAAAAAAAATTGGGCAGGTGTACTGAACTGAGCCTCACACTTGTTGATAAGGAGTATCTTTCCTGCCAAAAAAGCTTTGAAAATGTAATTTATCAAGAAGATCAGTCGAATTATTTTGTGTATTATAACGCCAGTGAGAATTCTGAAATTCCCCTACTTTCACTTTCATTTTTAGAGGTTCCCGCAGACAGACGCATTTTGCCGGAAAACGAATCTGACATGCCACCTCGAGATTTTAACCAAGGAAAGACAAGTTGATGTGCTTTGATTTGAGGGGTCACTCACTACCGAACGAAAATTAGGGACATCGCTATGAGAAGGAACGTTACCATTGTCGCCTATGGACAAACAATTAGTGGACTGTACCCATATAATATGACAGTAATTCTTTTAAACAGTAATATAAGCTAGAGTAGAAATATCAAGGTAATGATTTTAAAATGTTTAGTTTTAATGAATTACATGTATATGGCAACAAGCTTTCAAAAGTAATTTTGACCCTTGACTGTATTAAATTAAAAGAAGATGGACTGTTTTTCCCTGTACATTAAAGAGATCAAACCAATTTCTATTCTCCTGTAGGATAAAATATTCTATAAATCATTTTGATAGAGAACTTTTAATCCTATTAGTGTCAATTATAGAACTTCTTGTCCCATTTCATACATTATGGGATAAAAAATCCCATGTAGGGTTAAAAATGGGAGTTTTGATTCTATAGAAAAAATCCCACAGAACTCATTTTTCTCCCACAGAATAATGGTGGGATATTCATTTTGCCAAATCCCACCATAATCCCATGGGATTCCTTGATTGCAGGTGTAATATCTTTTAAACTAGAAGATATTCAGGTGTGAAGGTTAGTCCATGTTGTTCTTCAGATCAAAAAAATCCCACCAGATGACATAAATGGTTTCCATGTATCTTTGGAAAAGTGGTTGGCGAAAGTCCGGACAAATGTCGTGTCCGGAGTTAAATGTCGCACTGTTTATGACGGATTCTTACATTATGCTACTATCAAACTTGAATGCAAGGACTTGCATGCACGTGTGCGCGCGCAATGCGTTAAATGACCGATTTACTTGATATAGTCGTAATTTTTTTTATGAAACGTTTCAAAATTCAAAGAATAGAAACACATTAAAAGTGTAGTCACGATGATATAGCTTTCATGCATTGCACCTTCGCGCGCGTGCAATGATCAAATGACTTGTATACTTGATATGGCCGTTACTTTTATATTTCTTTATGAAATGCTTTGATGACCTTGACCTTTGACCTTGACCTTTGACCCCTTGACCCAAAGGTCACAATCCAGCTCAAGTTCGTAGATGTATTTACAAACTCACTTTAACAAATTCTTAGAATAAAAAAGTCAACCCCCCCCCCTTCTCCTTAAAAAAAAAATCAATAACAACGTAGAAAATTTCTCTGAAA